TGTGTGAAACCAAATAAATAGAAACGTATAAGTATAACTAAATATGTATATATATATAATACAATAGGTAAATACACTTAAGGTCTATTCCTTCCTGAAACTCAGGAGCTAGCTTTAGTCATGATGAGGACCACTAGTATAAATTCGCACTTGGGGGGGGGGGGGGGGGGGGAGTCTTGGGCCTCCTATAGGTTTAGGGTTTAGGGTTTAGGGTTTAGGGTTTAGGGTTTAGGGTTTAGGGCTTATTTCGGTTTAGGATTCAGGGTTGGGATGTTCACCCTGATACTAACAGTCCTTCATGGGGATTCTAGGTTCCCCCTACTATAATCCCTATCAAGGACGGGGAGTATAAGGATGAACATCCCGAATTCATGGACATCCAAATCGGCACAACGAGATTCTCTCTGCTAGATCCATCAGAAGACCTCGCTGGAACTAGCGGGGTCGGATTCCCTAAACCCTGAACCCTGAACCCTAAACCCTAAACCCTAAACCCTAACCCTAACCCTAAACGGGTGCCATCTTGCCTTCGCTCTGCCAGAAATGAAACAAAAAACAACAGTTGGAGAGGTTGGGCTGGTAAGACATCTGGAAAGTTTGAACCCCCAAACCCTAAAACCCTAAACCCTAAACTCTCATTCCTGTGCATCGTGAACTGTCGTCCTTGAAATCTCTGTCAATGATCCAAAGCAACTGGGGGCACGGCAAGAGTAGAAGAGGCAGTAGCTCGTCACCTTGATCTACTATAGTTGCTTACATACAGGGTGCCCGCCCTAAGGCGACCCACGTGGGCAAAAGGCGACTCGCCCCAAGTAGACGCCCCTGAATGCAAAAGGCAACCCATGCATGCAAAAGGCGACCCATGGAAAGCTAATCCCCAGGGAGACGCCCTTGCCAGGTTACTTTTGCAACATAGCAAAAAAATAAGCAACACGCACACGAGACCTAGCGCAGAGTACCGATTCCATACGACTTCGGACGACGATGCACCCTAAAAAACCCCAATGTGACGCCGTGCCAGGCTACTTGCACAAGCTAGCAAACACAAGCGAAAGTTTCTGGAAGCGGAGGGGTGAGTGTGTCCGTTCCCGACCAAACAGTGCGACGCAAACGGTTTATGATATTAATACGTCCAGCGGAACATAGGGTCTATGGTAGGTTACGGGAGGGGTCCGGGTTTTGGAGCTGTAGGTGATACTGGAAAACTGCCTTCTGACACCTACGCGAGACCCTTCTACATTCCTGCTGGCTCCATGCCGCCAGATGATTCGAGGATGGTTTGCAGGGGGGCAGGGAAACCCAAAGAGCTAGGGTTTGGGGTTTGGGGTTTAGATCTCTATATATGACTTCTAGTCTATTCCTTCATTGAGGGTATTGGGCTCTTCGGGGACTTCGCGCCATGCACACGAAAGGTTACACCCTTTTTGGCATCCGGACTCCCGTGGGTGCTGCCAGAAACCACAAACCCTGAACCCTAAAACATAAAACCTAAACCATGAACCCTAAACCATAACCATGAACCCTAAACCTGATCCGAGCCCTGTGCCAAATCTCCGTCGAAGGTGCCCATGTCTGCAGGCGCCTGGAAACCTGGGCTCTCCAATTCTGCGCGATGCCCGGATCCCCAAAAGCCCTGACGGGTCCACTTGCAGCGTCTCTTCGGACTTTAGGAAGTAGAGTTTAGGGTTTCGGGCTTAGGGTTTGGGGTTTCAACAGCAGGCCTTTTCCGTTTATTGGGACACAGGTTGCCGGGACGACTTCCTGTTCATAAATTTCCCGACGATTTGCTGTTCAAGTTTCCCAGCCAGCTACACATCAATTCGAAACCCAAGCGCGCGCCCTAAACCCTAAACACTATAACCCTAAACCCTAAACCCGGGGTCCCGGCGCACAGTGACAGAGTTGGCCTCAGAAAAGCGGGAAAGCGCTGGCGAAGCAGGTGTTTCCTACAAAGATGAGGTTCATGGGCTTAGGGGTTTTGCAGGTTTAGGGGGTTCAGGGGGTTTGGGGGTTTAGGGGGTTTAGGGGGTTTAGGGGGTTTGGGGGTTTGGGGGGTTTGGGGGGGTTTGGGGGGGTTTGGGGGGTTTGGGGGGTTTGGGGGTTTTGGGGGTTTTGGGGATTTTGGGGGTTTTGGGGGTTTTGGGGGTTTTGGGGGTTTTGGGGGTTTTGGGGGTTTAGGGGGGGGCAGCCAGAGAGGCCAAACCCCGTAATCAAGGCATAGACCGTAAACTTTTTGAGGGATCCTTGGAGCTATTCTGGCCTGTTGAGTGGGGGCCTGTGAAAAAAGTCAACCTTTTTCTGCTTTTTTGGGGGTTTTTCTGCTCCACACGGGTACGTCTGCGAGAGCCGGAAAGCTTGGAGCGGGCGCGGAGCCCAGGGTCAAAGCGCGTTTCGGGTCCGCCCGACCGTGAACGGGGGTGTGCGTTTCAGGTCCGCCGTGCGTGGCCGCGGAGGTGCGTTTCAGGCTCTGCTGGACTGCGTTTCGTACAGGCCAAGGTGCGTTTCAGGTCCGGCACAGCGAGGTACCGGCGCTGAGTTGACACTTTGTGCCGCCCTAAACTAAAACCTAAAACCTAAAACCTAAACCCTAAACCCTAAACCCTAAACCCTAAACCCTAAACCCTAAGCCCTGAACCCTAAACCCTAGACCCTCAACCGAAAACCCTAAACCGTAAACCCTAAACCCTAAACTCAAAACCCTAAACCCTAAACCCGAAAGCCTAAACCCGAAACCCTAAACCCTAAAACCTAAACCCCAAACCCTAAAGCCTAACCCTAAACCCCCTAAACCTTACAACCTAAACCCCAAACCCTAAACCCTAAACCCTAAACCCTAAACCGTAAACCCTAAGCCCTAAATCCTAAACCGTAAACCCTAAACCGTAAACCCTAAACCCTAAACCCGAAACCCTAAACCCGAAACCCTAAACCCTAAAACCTAAACCCCAAACCCTAAAGCCTAAACCCTAAACCCCCTAAACCTTACAACCTAAACCCTAAACCCTAAACCCTAAACGCTAAGCCCTAAACCCTAAACCGTAAACCCTAAGCCCTAAACCCTAAACCGTAAACCCTAAACCGTAAACCCTAAACCCTAAACCCTAAACCCCAAACCCGAAACCCTAAACCCGAAACCCTACACCCTAAAACCTAATCCCCAAACCCTAAACCCTAAACCATAAGTAGTGCGCCTGAAATGCACCATGTGTGCGTCTGAAATGCCCCCTGTGTGGTTCTGAATTGTCTCCCGTCTGGTTCCTGAGCACCGGACCTGAAATTGGTACCTGAAACGACCCTAGGTGCGTCAGAACCGTACAACACTCCGGAGCCCAGGCCCCTTGTCGTTCGTAGAATTAGGGTTCTTGAGGGAGGGGGGGGTATGTAACCCAAGGTTGCCGAACAGTCCCCACTACTCCCTAAGGCTCCCTAAGCTTCCCTGGTGCCTACCCACCCTAAACCCTACCCTAAATCCTAAACCCTAAACCGTAAACTGCAAACCCTAAACCCTATGACAGATACACCCAGGTTCGAGTCCGCCACCTGCTTGTTCGTTTAGGGCGATGAAGCTCTAAAGAACATTCCTGAAGGTGTATGGCAGTCTCTGACCAGAAGGGCACATTTAGCGTGTGCGGGCGGAACCAGAGGGCCCAATACCCCTTATCTAAGGGGTTTAGGGTTTAGGGTTTAGAGTTAAAGGTTTAGGGTTTAGGGTGTCGGGATGATTTCAAGAAAGCACCTCAGGCTGAAATCAAACGCCTCAGTCAAGTTGGTGTACTTGGAGGTTCATGAGTAGTTACTACGGTTCTGGCAACTTTACTGAAAACCCTATCGAGGGTACGTATACCCCTACTTGAAACTACTCATGAATCCTGAACCCTGAATCCTAAACCCTACTTATACCTGCCGAAATAAACCTCCTTGAGTGTTGGGCTTTCTGGAAACCCAAAGAGCCCCAAACCCCTGAATTAAGGAAATATACCTTAAACAATAATAACTGGAGCTTTGGTATGATTTCAGGAATGTTCCTTACCCTACAGCCTAAACCCTGAACCCTGAAGCCTAACCCTAAACCCTAAACCCTAAACCCTAAACCCTAAACCCTAAACCCTAAACCCTAAACCCTAAACCCTAAACCCTAAACCCTACCGAAACAAACCTCCTTAAGTGTTGGGCTCTCTGGGGAATGAAGCAGATCCGTGCACGTTAGGGGCTGGGCTGTGCTTGCGATCATCTCAGGAGCCGCCCTGAGACACAGATGGGCAGTCCGGTTTAGGGTTTAGGGTTTAGGGTTTAAGGGGGTCCTTAGGGTCTCTGTTTTGTTTGCAAGGGCTTCTAGAATCACCGACTTCTAGAAATAGAACCCAAACAACTTGCCCCCGCCAAAGATTGGGCCAAAGACTTGGCGCGGGTTACCCTAAGGGTCCGTCCATGTACTATATAGTATATACTTGGGCCCTAAAGCTACTATATTATGGGAACCCCTTTAAGGCCCAAGTGTATACTATATAGGTACATGGACCCTTAGGGCTATAGGGCATAGGGTATAGGGCTTTGGGCAAAGCGAACTGGGGCTCCGAGCATCTTTGATGGCACGTCCTGTGGCGGTCGGTACCTAAACCCTAAACCCTAAACCCTAAACCCTAAACCCCTAAACCCCTAAACCCTAAACCCTAAACCCTAAACCCTAAACCCTAAACCCCTAAACCCTAAGCCCTCAACCTTGGGGTTGCTCCGAAAACTGGGCTTGGGTGGGTTTCGGGTTTACTAGACCTTGGAGTAAGCTAGAACAAAAAAAGGGTGCTTGTTTTGGGTTTTGAAGGGGTTTTATAAGGGCACCTAAACCCTAAACAAAGGGAATAGGGGCCTACTCTGGGTCGAAGTTGATATGGGGTCTCGGCGCTAGGGTTTAGGGTTTAGGGTTGTTCTGGTTTTGCCCACCCCCCCCCCCTGCTTGGCGTAGGACATTTGAAATAGGGTGAAGGGTTTCTTGTTGTACGTGGTCAACCTCCTCGTCGGACACCGGCCATGCTGCAGGGCCGGGTTCCTGCCCATTGAAAGAGAGCTCGATGATGAAGTGGGTTCTATCAGGGTTCTACTACATCTCAAGCGCGGCCGCCGTTTCGACGGTCTCTGGATGGCTTGCTCAGAGTCCGCGCAGGCGCCGTCAAGCAGCGGGAACTCGTCCGGCCACCGCCTGACCGGCGGGGATATCTCGAACAATTGCAGTTCGTTGGCTCCATACAACAGTTGGTCCAGCACCGATGCTTTTTTCAAGCATTCAACACAAATTGCCTCGTTGTTGCTAATATTGGCAGGTAGTGACACCGAGATCTTAGGACATCCTAGAAGATTGAGCTCTTTGGTGTTTACATGTCGACATGCTAAGGCATTTGGCAGAAAACGCTCCGTCGACGCTCACAGACTGCCGCTCTGTTGGTTCAAGAACTGTGGCTACGAACCCAGAACCCTAGACCCTAAACCCTTGGAAGATCCTGAACCCTCAGCCCTAAGCCGCTCAGGGTTTAGGGTTTAGGGGTTTAGGGGTTTAGGGGTTTAGGGGTTTAGGGGTTTAGGGGTTTAGGGGTTTAGGGGTTTAGGGGTTTAGGGGTTTAGGGGTTTAGGGGTTTAGGGTTTAGGCTTTATGGTTGCTACAGTAGGGCGGGGGGGGGGGCTGTGCGCCGGGCACATGGCACAGAGGCTCCAAACCCATACCCCTTCATTTCTTCAGGGTTTAGGGTTTCGGGTTTAGGGTAAACTCTTATTGTTTTCAAAGGATGCCCAAGGGGCAGGTTGCATATTTCTTAGAGAAGCCTAAGACGCTAGCGGTGTTGCTAACTGGCCCAATCCGAAGGCTTGGAGTCTCATGGGGTTAGGGTTTAGGGTTTAGGATGTATGAGTTGGAACGGGTTTACGGCTTAAGGAGCCTTAGGGCCAATGCGCCCGAACCTACACCACAGGTACCACGAGTCCTGCTTCACTTTGACGGGTGAAGATGGGTCCGACCAGTCCTTCCATCGAAGAGCGACCGAAAAACCCGAAACCTTAAACCCTAAACCCTAAGCCCTAAACCCTAAACCTTAAACCCTACACCCCTCTGCGCAGGGCTCTCTCAAGCCCTAAACCTAAACCCTCAACCCTATTGGGAGTTAAGGCGTGGGCGGTTTGGGGCTTACTGCGCTTTTGAGTGGGCTTAAAGAGGCTTGGGGCGCAGAAGCTGGGGTTTAGGGTTTAGGGTTTAGGGGTTAGGGTTTAGGGTTTAGGGTGAGTAGTACAACTACACACGCGAGAGCATGACGATTCGGAAGATGACCTCATCGCAAGATCTTAACCCCCAAGCCCCGGCACTCAAAGCATCATGTTCTGGGCTAAGCTGCTCAAAGTGCGCTGGGGCCTCACCACCAGAAACGCACATGCAAGAGCTCCGAAGTCCTAGAAGTTGTACAAACTCACCGATTCTATCTTAGGGCACGGTAGTTACATATTCCTTTGTATGGGCCCTGAAATGGGGACCCCTTATATAACCTTCAGCAAGCCCCAAGGGACAATACTGCAGAACCCCTTAAGTACGGTAGGGGACCATGTCAAGAAACCATGATAGCGACCCCTAGACTAGGGGGCTGGGCCCTAAACCCTAAACCCTAAACCCTAAACCCTGTGGGCACTTAGAATCCTCTCCCTTTTTGGATTCTGGAAGCCAGGGTTCAGGGTCTAGCGTTGAGACCTTTCAGGCCCATGCTTCCCGAAGCCTTGAACCCCAGGGCCCCTGAACCCTGAACCCTAAACCCGAAACCCTAAACCCTTAAGCCAATCCTAATCGACTCCCTCCCGGAACACCAGAGAAAGACGGGAAGGAGTCCGAAACGCCAATGGCGTTGATGCAGCGCACCTTAGCTGAAAATCCGCAGCAGCTTGTGGGGGGTCTTATGGTTTAGGGGGTCGAGCGTGCCCTAAACCCTAAACCCTAAACCCTAAACCCGAAACCCGAAACCCGAAACCCTAAACCCTAAACCCCGAACCCCAAACCTACCCAGCTACAGGGCCCACATGGAACTTTTAGGGCTGTTCAGGCTTCAAACTGAAACTTGGGGGTTTAGGGTTTAGGGAAACCCTAAACCCTAAACTCGCTGACCTTCGGGAGCTCCAACTATCGGCCCCCCCTAGGCCTGTCTAAGTTGGAACCACCTGCCCTTAGCTTGGTAACCTAGTTTTGCTTCATCCTCTCCCCTAATATTAACCCCCCCCCACCCCCAAATATGAAATACCACCCATTATAGTTATATTATAGTGTATTGGGGGTTTTTCATATTAGGGGGCGGGGGGGGGGGGGGGTTCAATACTATAAGGGGATTAGAGGCATCCGAAGTACGGGGCCTTAGTATGTACAGTGTATACTAAGGGTTTTCGAACAAGGGACCCAACCCTAAACCCCAAACCCCAAACGCTAAACCCTAAACCCTAAACCTTAAACCCTAAACCCGAAACCCTAAAAGCCCAAATTAAGGGTGCATACTTGGAACCCCACAGGCCTGGAAGTAGTAGCTTTTCGACGGCTGCAGGTTCGTGACCGCAAAGCTCGTGTTTGTTCCCTGCCCGCGAAGGGAGCCCAAGAGCCCTCAAAAGCCCCTTAATTAAGCAGTTTAGGGTTTAGGTTAGGGTTTAGGGTTTAGGGCTTAGGGTTTAGGGTTTAGGGTCTAGGGTTTAGGGTTAGATGCACCTTAAGCGGAAAATTCTAGGACCCCCCTGGTAATTAGGATGTAAGGTACGTTCCTGAATAAAGGGTTTTCAGGGCTGTTTGGGTTGTTGAAGAGGCGGCTAATCCGTACCCTTTCTTTTTTCTGCCAAAAGAGCCACCCTGAACCCTAAACCCTAAACCTTAAACCCCAAACCCTACACCCTAAGCCCACCATTTCTGAAGGTTACACTCTGAGCCGCGTTCTCAAAGACCGCCTCTGGGAGACCCCACCGGACGGTTTAAGGTTTAGGGTTTAGGGTTTAGGGACCTTCTTTCAAACCCGAAGCATCCGGAAGAGCTTCCGTGAATTATGTTGTTTTTTTCTTTGCTGTTGGGGGCCTCTTTCATACTTAAGGGGCTCACTACATAGTAGACCCAAAAGGATATAGCAGACCAACAAAAAGGGACCCCCGCTGAGCCTTGATACCGCTGACCTCACAGCCACGCGACATGTCCCTGGATTCGGCATAGCCTGGAGAGAGATCTGGAGACGTCATGATACGCTGTTCTCTAACTCATGGTGCCTTGCTTGGTACCATAGATGAAAGGGTCGGATTTGTGAAAGGGTATCATCATGGACGATGATTTCAAAAACTGCCCATACCAATCTGCGGCTCGTGAAAAAGGGGGATGACGTATCAAATAATTCATATGCCTTAAACAATGAAGGGGCCCTAATCATGACTTAAGGTATATTCCTTTAAGTTATTGGGCTCTCTTTGGGCCGTTTAAACCTTGGAGTTGACCTGTTGCGGGCCACGATGGCCGCCGCCTGCTCGGTGCAAACCCGCCAAGGTCGTGTGCCATTTCCCCACAGCACATAAGCGTTGTGAGTGGCTGATAACCTGCAATGCTGTTCTTGAGCAGCTTCCTGCTGGGAGACTTTCTGCCCGCAGATCTTGCAGGGAGCGGATTGGAGGCCGCCCCTTCTGCGTCGCGTGTTCTGCTGCACCCGCTCCGAGCCGTGCTGCGAGCCGTGCTGCTGGGCCTCTGTCTGCCTCTCAGGCAAACCTGTGTTCTGGTGCCCCTCAGGCACGTCCTTCCTCTGGTGCCTCTCAGGCACCTCTTTCTTCTGATGCCCCTCAGGCTTTGGTGCATCTCGCTGCTCCATCTGGGCATGGCCCCGCTGGTCGTCCTCTTCGTCACCAAAGTCCACCTCGTCTGGGGCAGCCATGGCCTGACGGGTTTTTGGGTTTAGGGTTTAGAGTTTAGGGTTTAAGATAAAGGGTTTTGTAGTGTAGGGTCTAGGGTCTAAGGTTGAGGCAGAACCCACAACCTAAAACCACCCAAAACCAACCCAGGACACACACGTCAGCAGGGACCACGCAGGTCAACCTGTCTGACTGACTGGCAGAGACCACTCAGGTCCATCTGCTCCTTGCACATGACCACTGATGTCCTGTAGGCAGATTAAGGTCGATTTTTTATAGGGTCCTTCAGGGAGGGGCTCCTTAGGGAGGGGTATGTAATCCAAGGTTCCCTAAACCCTAAACCCTAAACCCTAAACCCTAAACCCTAAACCCTAAACCCTACTCGCTAAAGCTCCCTAAGACTCTCAGGCTCCCTAAGCTTCCCTAAGGTTCCCTATGCAGCTACCCCCCCCCCCCCATAAACCTCCCTCCCTTAAGGATCCTATAGATTTAGGGTTGGGTTAAGGGTCTAGGGTCTAGGGTTTAGGGTTTTTGGAAAGCCCAACACAACTTGGTTACGGAATATCGCTTCAATCGAATATCAGGCCCCTCTAGAGCTTGAGCATACTCGGGTAGATAAGCCCTTAGCCCTAAACCCTAAACCCTAAACCCCAAACCCTAAACCCTAAACCCTCAACCCTCAACCCCAACCCAAAGCCTAAACCTAGTAACAAGGGGTCTTGGGCGCTCTCTGTGTTCCCAATCCATCTTGGGCGGTCGACGCAAGCCAAAACCGGTGATGTCGCTGCCCAGACCTCGGGTGGCCACATGAAGTGCTCGGGGGGTTAGGGTTTAGGGTTTAGGGTTTAGGGTTTAGGGTTTAGGGTTTAGGGTTTAGGGTTTAGGGTTTAGGGCTTAGGGCTTAGGGCTTAGGGTTTGGGATTTAGGGTTTGGGGTGTAGGATTCGGAGTTTCGGATTTTGGCTCAGGTTTTTGAGGGTTCGAAGGATTTTACCAGACTCGCAGAAAGATTGAAAGGTGCTGCCAGAAAGCCCTGAAACCCCTGATGCTTAAGAACCCCCCCCCACCCCCCCCCCCACCCCCCCCACCCCCCCCCCAACAACCCCCCCCGCCCCCCCCCCTCCCCCCACCCCCACCCCCCCCCCAACGCCCCCCCCCCCCACACCGCACCCCCCCCCCCCGCACCCCCCCCCCCCCCCGCAAAAAAAACAACGAAAATATACTTCCTGACAAGGGCCTATCGTTTTTTTGCGGGGTCTGAAGCAAAAAGTAGCGCCATTCACTAAACCCTCTGAACCCTGAACCACTGAAAGCCTTCCTAATACTTGGGAAGCATCGACCCCGAAAACCAGACAACCGCACCCTGAAAACCAACAATTCAAGTCAGATCCGTTAGTCAAGGTCTGATCACCCTCGTGCCCGAGCACCCTACACCCCTAAGCACTAAAACAATGCTGTCTTCAGGCCCTCCACCATAAACCCTAAACCCTAAACCCTAGTCATAGGCCCTCGGGCTGTCCGACGGGCGCCAGAAAACCACGATGGCCCGCGGAAGGAGCTCGAATTTGTAAGGAGCCTCACATGGACCCCAAACCCTAGACCCTAAACCCTAAACCCTAAACCAGAAGCTCGAATTCGGAAGGAGTTTCACATGGAGGGCTACGGCTTGTTGTTGAGGGTTTAGGATTGAGGGCCTCCTCCCCCCTTTGCCTTGCCATAGCGAAAGTAGTTAAACCCCCAGCGATATACTAGTTCATACTTGGGATCGTATTAAAAATCAACATGTTCTACTCCTTAGTGTGTTTAAGTAACCTTAAACATGTGAAAATGTTATCCCACTATGACAAAGCACAGTACTTAGAGCCCAGGAGGAACTAGGGTCTGGCGCTGATATCAAGAAGGATGAACCGGACACACGCCCAATCCCAATCCCTTTTTTGAACCCAGGGTTTAGGGTTTCCGGTTTGTGGTTTAGGGCACCCTAAACCCCGAAACCACACATTGGGTTGAAGAGCTTCAAAGTTTACAGGCTCTGGTAGGAGGTTCCTAAACCCAAAACCCGAAACTCAAAACCCAAAACCCTAAACGCTAAACGCTAAATGCTAAACCCTAAACCCTAAACCCTAAACCCTAAACCCTAAACCCTACACCCACAACCCTAAACACGGGTCTCACGTCTTAACCCTGAACTCGGTGCCGGCAGCCAAGGGATGGACATCCGGCTTGCTGGGTCGTTCAGGCTCCACCTGCGCGGCGGTTTTCTAGGGTTTAGGGTTTAGGGTTTAGGGTTTAGGGTTTAGGGTTTAGGGTAAAACCCTCTCGGAAAAAAAAAACATTCCTGACATGATCCTCTTCAACCCCAATAAGGGAAAATAGCAGATGTCCCAAAATTCCACCGAGCGTTGGCTTTAGGGTTCTCACCCTACCCTTAAGGAAAGGGTTTAGGGTTCAGGGTTCAGGGTTCAGGGCTTAGGGTTTAGGCTTAGAGTTCAGGGTTCAGGATTTAGGGTTCAGGGTTCAGGCTTTAGGCTTTGGGGCTTAGGGCTTAGGATTCACTGGGCGTTCCTGCCTAAGTAGGTATTTCTATTAAGTTGTTTGTTGTTTTTCTTTTTCTCTTTTTTTTTTTTTTTTTTTTTTTTTGGGGGGGGGGGGGTGGGGGGAGGGTTTGGGCTTAGCGCTTAGCGCTTAGGGCTTAGGGCTTAAGGGGTGTAGGGCAGAATGCTGAAAGTAGGGACTCTTAAGCACGTGCATTATCTGATGTGGCCAATGAGGCAGTACTGCCCGTTCAGCTCAGGGAGCCGATTCTGCCATGTTTAGGGTTCAGCGCTGAGGGTTCAGGGTCCACATACAACTTCCATTTATTTTGTCTTGAGGGTTTAGGGTTTAGGGTTTAGGGTTTAAGGTCCTCTTGCGGTTTTCAACCCTTAAACCCTAAACCCTAACCCCCCCCCCCCCCCCCCAATAAAGCACTGCAAGAACTAAAGAGCACACGAAGCCGAGAGCACCCCGAGGCCACCCTAAGACTCCCATTCGCTCAAGAACGCCCTAAAAAATAGAGGGTTTAGGGTTTAGGGTTTGGGGTTTGGTGTTTGGGGTTTGGGGTTTGGGGTTGGGGGTTTAGGGCTTACGGAAGATAATGATCCCTATATTGCCCTTACAAGGGAGTCTACTTATCGGGGCTTTAACGATTAGAACAGGCATCTTTTGGGGGCCATTCTAGTATAATGACAAAGGGACCATAAGGGAATACTATTAGTAATTATTCCGACCCCTATAATATGTTTGTATTTGTGCTTTTCATTTTTTTTGTTTGGGGGGGGGGGGGGGGGGTTCTGAAGGAAACAGTAGAAGAGCGCACTCCAATAACCCTCCCGGAGCACTCCAAGAGTTCAGCATTTCTCTGCCACCTAAGCCCCAAACCCTCAACCCGTTTAGGGTTTAGGGTTGAGGGTTTAGGGTTAGGGTTTCGGGTTTAGGGTTTAGGGTTTAGGGTTGAGGGAGACCCAAACCCTAAACCCCACGAATGGCCTGCATAGCGTCACTCGAGGCCGACCAAGGGCCCACCCCTGCTGTGCTATGAGCACGGACCTGAAACAAAAAAGGGCCCGGTTTAGGGTTAGGGTTTAGGGTTTAGGGTTTAGGGTTTAGGGTTTAGGGTTCAGGGTTTAGGGTTTAGGGTTTAGGGCTACTAGACCCAAGAGTAACCTAAGAATAACAAGGGTGCCTTTGTTTGGTGGGCGTTTCAGGGGGCCTAAGCCCTAAAAAGGAAATAAAAGGGCTACTCTGATTCCCAGCAATGGGAATCCCAAACCGGGAGCCCCAAGAAACAGAGTAGGGATATGAAGGTTCAGGGTTTAGGGTTTAGGGTTTAGGGCTTAGGGTTTAGGACTTGGTAGGGTATATTCCTATAGTACTCCTACTCTATTCTTGGGGTTCACTTTTTGGAGTTCCCATGAATGTGCCTTTATGACAGCACGGGAGGGGCTTACATCCCTCAACCCTAAGTAAGCCCCAGAACCCCCCTGAAAAGCACAACCCCTTTTGCATCCAGGCCTGTCCGAACTGCTGACCACAACCTCTTTTTGTAAACCCTAAACCCTAACCCTAAACCCTAAACCCTGAACCCCAAACTCCCCAAATGGACTAAGCCCCGAAGGTGCTCAGGGCCAGGGCTCGGGTTTTTGGAGGGGCAGGGTACACGCCAAGTGCTTCGGGCCTGAATCCATGCGTTTAGGGTTTGGGGTTTGGGGTTTAGGGTTTAGGGTTTGGGGTTTAGGGTTGAGGGTTTAGATTGTCATACTCTGTGTCGGGCTCTGGGATGCATGTCGCTAGACTTTACCGAACTTTCGCTGTTTTAGCCGAGTATACAGTTTCTGCAACTCCGCGAAAAGCCCCAAACCCGAAACCCTAAGATACGATGCAGCCTGGAGCTCCCAGTAAAGCTTCTAGTTAACCTCAAAAGATGTTTGATTTGGCGGGTTAAAGTGTTGTGGACATGTTCGGCCCCGGGTTTACGGTAGGGTTCAGGGTTTAGGGCTGTTCCCCATGTACAGCTTACGGTTTAAGGCTTAAGCTCAGCTTAAGTCATACGAAGGATCCCTATACAGTTTAAGATCTATTCCTTCATGAAGGGGTATTGGGCCCTACGGGTACCTTCGCCTGGTAAGGGGGGTTCCCAGAATAAGGGGTCCCAAATGTGATGTATGCTTTCGCGGAATGACGGGTTCAGGGGTTAAGGCTATACGTTCCCTAAACCCTAAACCCTAAACCCTAAACCCTAAACCCTGAGGGCTCTTTTGGGTGAACCCGGGTGGCACCTGGAAGAACTGATCGATGAGCGGCCCCCAGACGCCAGGCACCAAAGCCTCCGCCAGGGAGTTCTACTTTGGACCCCTTTACAATGACATGCAACTAGTCCATGTTTTGGATAGTATTAAAGTTAAAAAGTCTATATTCATTTCTCAGTCTAAGTACCCTTAAACATGTACATGTTAACCCACTGTGACAAAGGTAAGAATCTAGGCACAACCGTAACCTAGGAACAACAAAAGGGGTTTAGGGTTTGGGGTGACCCAAGAGGAACCCCAAGGAATGAAAAGGGCACCCTTTTTGGTTTGAAGGGGCTTATAAGGGCACCCTAAACCCTAAAACAAGGGATTGATGGCCTACTCTGGGTCCTAGTATATTTACATTTGTATACATACATACATATGTATATATATATATATGCACATGTACAATCAGGGGACTTGTGTAACCTGAGCTCTAGAATGCTTCTGACACAACTCTGGGACCTTACAGCTCTACTTAGGCTCCTGGCAGCATCGCAATGAACTGGAACCCTCTCGTGCTCAAGCAGCTTGAGCAAACTTTGCGGGCGAAGTGATGCAAAGTTTTTTTGGGTTTCGGGTCCGGGCTGGCACTCAAAGCATCTCTGAGCTCTACGACCGGATCACAATGTTCAGTCTTGTGTCTGCCTTAAAAACAGGCTAGACCGCAATTAAGGTCAGCTTCTTCTAAAACTTCAAGAAACTTTCGTAGAAATTGCTAGGGTTCCTTCACTATGCTTGTACGACTTCGTTGAAGCTTCTCCCAAGCGCCAATGCTGGATGGCAGCGAAAAAGCCCGAAAGCTCCTGAAGAGGACATTCGCCGGCTGAGTTCTCTAAGAGGAAACAGGCTTACGAGTTCTAAGGGGTGTTGTAGGATTCAAAAAAAGTTCACGATGGCTTCGGATGGGCCTCCACCAAGGTCTCATGAGGCAGGGCCACCACATCAGCGCTCTTCACCCTTGGTCTGTCAAGCCCAGGTTGGTGAGTGAGTGCTGAACCCCCTAAATCCTAAACCCTAAACCCTAAACCCTAAACCCTAAACCCTTTAAGGCTTAGGTGGGATTGTAGATACCCCAAACGGTTAACGCTTGCCTACTGGGCTACGAAGTCAAGATAGGAGCTGCGGGCAGACACACGGGGGGTTTAGGGTTTAGGGATTAGGGATTAGGGTTTGGAGGGGGGGGGGGGACCCGGCCCGTAGGTGTCTGCCGGGGACAGGAAGGCTGGAACACTAAAACCGCCTTCAACCCCCTTTGCTTATCCAAGCCCTTTGTTTCGGGCAAGCTCCTTTTAAAAGTAGCCCTAAACCCTAAGCCCTAAACCCTAAGCCCTGAGCCCTAAGCCCCAAGCCCTAAGCCCTAAACCCTAAGCCCTAAAGCCTACAGGCATCTACCCGGGCAAGCTCCTTTTAACATCATCAGCCTTCGCATTCGTGGGATTGCACACTGAACACGGCCTCAGCCCATCTGCGCCAATGGGCAGCTTCTGGCAAGCCGGAGGCTCCCGCAAGTAGTAGGGTTTAGGGTTCAGGGTTCAGGGTTCAGGGCTCAGGGCTCAGGGTTCAGGGTTTAGGGTTTAGGATTTAGGGGTGAGTGCAACGATACCAATTATTAGTTAAAGGGGCCTAAATTAGGCCCATTTTTTGGGTCCCCGATATAGTGCGGCACCTTATAACAAGGACCCCCCAAAAGGGACCCTCATTTAGAGAGCTACCCATGCTGAAATACTTACAGTATCATGGCCCTTATTTAGGGTCTAGGGTTTAGGGTGCATGTTTTAAGTTAAGGGGCCCCCTACACCCGAAAGCAAACACCATCGGTGGGAGGTAGGACAGGGTTTAGGGTTTCGGGTTTAGAGTGTAGGGTTTAGGGAGGATGCGGCATTTGTTAGCCCATCATTGAAGGCAGAAGGGAGCAAAACAAGCAACGCCAGGATTCTTCAAGGTTTTCGACAGTGAGCTGCCACAGCCAGCAGGGGACTTTGTTCTCATGGCCCGCGTGTAAATCCTGGGGCCTAGGGAAACGTGGCGGGACACTGAACGCAAGCATCGCACCACAAGAAATCTTATCCTCACAACCTGACAAACCGTGAAGCCTTAGGCCCCTATACCCACATACACGTGATGTGCATGTCACTGGACCTTCATGCATGTGGAACACTTACGAAACTATAGTTCGTACAACAAGGGGCCCCGTCCCTGCAGATTTAATGCCTAGATCTCCCCGTCCTCGGCAGTTGAAAATTCCCTTGTGGGTAGCTACCTTACCAAATTTTGGTACTGTATGAGATTTCTGAACTTTATTAATCTTCGCGCGGAAACCACGAAGATACAAGACAACCCCCAAAGCCCCGGCTTCGTGTCATGAGGGTGTGGTATTCAGGATTCGAAAAACTCGGAAACGTTGAACAGAAAGGGGCCCAAAGGGTACACCCTATACCCTAAACCCTAAACCACTGGGCCACCAAGAAATTGGAAAGCCATCTATAAAGGCATGCATGCGACGCCACCCCTGTCGCCTCTTAGTGGTAGCCATGTTAAACTAAGGATACCCATTCCTGTTGGCTTGGTTACTTTACACGGGAGCCCTAAACCCTAAACCCTAAACCCTGAACCCTGAACCCTAAACCCTAAACCCTAAATATGATCCAACTTGGAGGCGTCCCTACCATCGTCAAGCCCTAAAGGGCTAAGAGGAGACCACTGGGCGACCAAGGTCTCAAAGCCTCTGCTGGAACTGTTGGGAGCAACGCGCAAGGTCAGACAGTTGCCGCACTTTGCCCGTCGACTGCAGCCAGTCCTCATGCTACGATTCCTGTAGGGTCTAGGGTTTAGGGTGTAGGGTTTAGGATTTAGGGTTGAGGGTTTAGGGTTTAGGGTCGCCAGGAGCCATTTCCATTCTCTCTTTTGCCTGTCTCTCCCTTTCCCTCCTCTTCAAAGAACACCTTCTACACCAACCTCCAGCCTCGTGGGCATACACTCTCAATGCCTATGTAGCCTCATCAGGGTTTAGGGTTTAGGGTTTGGGGTTCAGGGTTTAGGGTTTAGGGTTTGGGGTTTAGGGTTTACCCCGAAATTGCTCACGCAGGCTGGGGTCCTTGAAGTGGCTGTGGATGCTCTCTTGGGCTTTCTTCTGCCTGAGCTGCACAAGGCAACGTCCGGAAGAGCCGGGTTGGAGGGCAGGTCGCTTCTAACCTTAGGGTTTAGGGTTTAGGGTTTAGGGTTTAGGGTTGACCCCAGAGCAGCGTAGGAATGAAAAGGGCACCCTTTTTTGGTTTGAAGGGGCGTACAAGGGGACCGTAACCCTACGAAAAGGAGTCAGGGCTCACAATGGGTCCTAGTCTAAACCCCCTTCTCCTATAGAAAACAAGTCCCGAGCGGCAAGCCTCAGCAACTGGACGCACCAGGTGGTCAGGTGAGCAGTAGCTATATATTGGAATGCCGCCCATGAACTTAACCCCAACTAAACCCCAAGATCTGGTACTTGATGATTCGCTTCTGCAGATTGGTGAGTTCAGGCTTGCAATTCAAGCCCGGATTGCAAAACCAAGGTAGACGCGGCAGCACAAGCAATCTTATGGTCGTTGCCCTCAGTATGGGCCCTGAATTGGGGAGCCCTTAGACACCAGTAACATGTCCTATCACCCAAGGGCACATACTTCAGAATTTCATACAACAAAAGGTAAGGGACCAGACGAACAGATCATGTAACTACCCTTAGCCTACTAGAACCAAAAGGAAGTCCGAAGAATCCACCTAGGTACCCTAGCAACCTAAGCGAAAAGGGACTTCGGCTTCGGTGCTAAGGGTTTAGCACCCCTTGTCCGCAATGGCCTGAAACACCCGACGCGCAAAAAAAAAAACAGCGAGAACACTGGACGTCCTCAAAAGGACGCAGTTTTGACCCCAAACCCCCCAAACCCAAAACCCCAAACCCCCGAAAACCAAAAACAAAACGATTCAACTTGGGTCCGGGGAACGCCAGCTCACTCGGCAGGCAGCGAAGCTGGCCCATGAGGCGGCGGACTTCATCCTGCTGTTCCTTCCTTGGAGGCTCATTCGGGAAGGGTTTAGGGTTTAGGGTTTAGGGTTTAGGGTTTAGGGTTTAGGGTTTAGGGTTTAGGGTTTAGGGTTAAGGGTTTGGGGTTTAGGGCTTAGGGCTTAGGGTCTAGGGTTGCTATAAGAAGGGTTATAAGTGCCCTGCATGGGGTGATACGTCTAGTTACTTAACACCTTACGTATAACTACCCAGGAACCGCCAGGAACCTCCAAAGTCCTGCTGGCTGAGTTTAGGGTCTACAGGGGCGCGCGTGAACGCTAACTTCAGCCATGGGGGATGGGGGGCGCTAGAACCTACATCATAAGACATAAAAGCCAACGTAGAGCCCTCCTAATCCCAGGGGCCCCTAGACTTGTGCAGGGTTCAGGGCCTTTGTAGCCCAGTAACCATATTCGTAATCAGAGTACACTGCCCTTTTTTTGGGTCCCTAAACCCTAAACCCTAAACCCTAAACCCTACGGTAAAGCCTAAACCTTGGTCGATCCCTTCCCCCCTAATACTAAATCCCTCCCCCCCCCTCCCTAATTCTGAAATTCGCCTGGGCCCGAAAAATATCTAAAATTAGGGGGGGGGGGGGGTCTAAATCCTAAAACCTGAATTCCGAAACCTAATAATTCAACCCTCTACGCCCTGAGCCCTGGATCCTAATCCTGTCAGCCTTCAGCCCCAAACCTTGACACCCTAATGGCGAAGGCCCTGAACCCCTCCCCCCCGTAATTCTCAAACAGGTTTAGTCTGGGGCTGGGTGCCGGCAAAGTCCGGAAAAAATGATATCTAAAATTAACCCTAAACCCTAAACCCTAAACCCCAATGGGGGGGTTTTAGTATTAGGGGGAAGCGATTACCACAGACTGGCAAAAGGGGGACCACTGGGCTACCAAGGGGTTTTGGAGGCCTCTGCTTCGGCAGTCGAGTCTGAGGATTTGTGAGGTTTTGTTAGGACTTAGGGTCCCTAAACCCTAAACCCTAAACCCTAAACCCTAAACCCTAAACCCTAAACCCTAAACCCTAAACCCTAAACCCTAAACCCTAAACCCTAATTCTGAACGGGGTCTAGAAGCTCGCAGATTCACGACTTGGACGACAAGCCAGACTAGGGGGGTGGGGGCACGATTTCTGTGAGAAGAAAGAAACATGTCTTAGCGCTTGCAACGCCCAAGTCGCATGGCTTTGTCGTAGACTTCAGGGAGCAGTAGCTGCGGCGGCGCACTTCGTCCGTGTGACTCCGGAACGACCACCGGGAAGAACTTACTCGGATGAACGAAATGGTACGTAGTGTTCCTCGGCTCGAAGTTCATAGGATGCCAAGTAAGAAACTTTGGAGCAGGGAGATTAACTCTCTACCCCTGAACCGGGTGCAGACACCACTGCATCCCCATGACGCAAAGCCAGGAAAGAGGGTGAGGGTTCAGGGCTTAACTCGACTGTTCATCTGTAAGCCCCTCATGTCCAAAAAGGCTTTTGGCTAGTAAGAATACCACTTCAAGAGAGCACACGCCCTTTCTCACCTCGCTGGGTGTTTACACTTTCTTGTTAGGGGAAAAAGCCTTGCTAAATAGATTATAAGGGCTGTTTCACAAGGGAATAACAAGAGACAAAAGCCATGAACGCAGTGAACACCGGGGGGCATGGCGTAATTCATTCACAAGCCCTCGTAGTATGCTACATTTTAGTAGTTTCAGCCCGGGTCAGATAAGCTAGCCCCAGGCGTAACTTAGGAATAAACAGGGTGCCCTTTTTGGTTCAAAAGGGCTTGTAAGGGAGCCCAAGCCCTAAAAAAAGGGAATGGGGGCCTCCTCTGGGTCCTAGTTACCCGAACCCCTAAACCCTAAACCCCCCAAACCCGAAACCCGAAACCCGAAACCCGAAGCCCGAAGCCCGAAGCCCGAAACCCTAAACCCTAAACCCTAAACGCTTCAAGGCTTGAAGGAGTTGAGTGTCTAGGGGTTGAGGCTATCGGTGGAGGGCTTAGGCTGAGGGATCGGACAGCCAGTTGCGGGGCGCCAACGCGGTTGGGTTTGGGGTTTAGGGTTTAGGGTTTAGGGTTTAGGGTTTAGGGTTTAGGGTTTAGGGTTTAGGGTTTAGGGTTTAGGGTTTAGGGTTTAGGGTTTAGGGTTTAGGGTTTAGGGTTTAGGGTTTAGGGTTTAGGGTTTAGGGCCTAAACTGAAACCCTGAACCCCAGCTTCATAGGCCAAATAAATGGGAACCCTGTCCCCACCCCTTAACAAGACTCAAGAGCGGGCCCTCCTGGGGCTTCGTGTCAAACAGTTTTTCGCGTCGCGGCCTGAAGGGCCTAGCAACTTCCCCACACTGTGCTAACGTTAGGGTGTAGTAGGGGAGATTCTCTTTATCAAGTAAACGAGTTTGTTGAATGGGTTTAGGGTTTAGGGAGTAGCTCAGGGATTTACATCCTTAAGTTATGATACTTAACAAAAACCTGGCCCTTGTCACCAAAAGGCCCCCTCATCATAAACCCTGAATCATGTCATGATGGCCGAACGTGACCCAGGCTCTGCTCCTCTAAAGGCGTGCCCGCGCGGGAGGATAAAGTTTCCACCATCCCTGCCGTGCCTTAAGAACAGCGAGTTGGGCTTCTTGCGTCTCACTACCAACCCAGAGACTCCAATACTCTGTATTTAAGGACTCTTCCTTAAATTGTTGACACCCTCAACGATACTGCCCCTGATCTATCTTGGATGCAAGCACTACAACTTAAGCAACAAGCTACAAGGATAGCCGAAGCCCTTAGCATAGTAAGGGGGGGGTCCTCCCTGTTCCACAATATATCGGCGCCAGGCTGGGTGTGAAGTGCAAGCGAGGTGCAACAGATCGGATGCGCCCAAATGTCCACGTAGTCCTGCTGTTGAGACAGGCTAACCGACAACCCCTTTTTAATCCGGAGCTCTCTTGAACCCAAAGCCCTAAACTTTGGACTACAGTGGAACAGAACCACCGCAAGGAGCTTGTCAGAGCCATATCCTTGTATCACTGCGTCCTAAACTTAACCCAAAAACCTGGCTTAGGATTTAAGAAAGAACCCTAAAGGCCCTAAACCCTAAACCCAAAACCCTAAACCCTAAACCGAGATGGGCCAAGCACACTGTTGAACGACATGGGGGCCAAACGAAGCACAGAGATTCGCCGCTGGCCGTTGATGAGCATCCACGTAACAACTTACCTCACTAGACGGCGCATATATCATTATGCTGCTTCTCCATGCTATCATAGACTCTCTCAGCCCCACATTCTGGGATGAGAGTGTGAGGATTAAGCCCGCAGGTTTGAGCTATAGCCTCCATAACCCTAAACCCTAAACCCTAAACCCTAAGCCTGCAAGTTGGAGCCTTCTCCAAAGTCATCTGCGATCCGTGGAGGACTGAGGCCATGTGCGAGTGCAGCACGTTGTAGGGAGCCAACTGAATGCCTGGCAATATCGGTTTGGGGTTTAGGGGTTTAGGGTTTAGGGTTCCAGGAGAATGGGGCATGGACCCAGCGAAAACCCTCCAAAATTCATGGTTCCATACAAGCTGGACGAACTGAACGTAACGCTAAACCCTAAACCCTAAACCCTTAACCCTTAACCCTAAACCCAAAACCCAAAAACCCTAAACCTTAAACCCTAGCACCAATCACCATACGGGCCAGTTTCACACAAAGCTCCAAGATTGAACCCTACAAGCATGTTCAAGCATGTTTGAGGGCTTCCGGATTCACGGACTGCATCGTGGATCCAATCGTTCCGGTTCAAGGGGGTGGGGGTAGGAAACCCAAGGTTCCTGAATACTCCCCACTACTCCTGAAGGTTTCCCAGGTACACCTATCCCCCATGACACCCCCCCCCCCCCTTCAGGACCCTATGAAATAATCCTAAACCCTAAACCCTAAACCCTAAACCCTAAACTCAGTCGGAAGGCTGAGTCGCAGTTTGCAGCTGTCAGGAGCAGGGACCCAGATGTCCCTAAACCATAATCCTAAACCCTAAACACTAAACCCTAAACCCCTAACCCTAAACCCTAAACCCTGAACCCTAAATCCTAAACCCTGAATCCTACAGTTAGCAAGAAAACCTTGGGCGCAGTCGCAAGGTGGGCCGAGAAATGGCGCTCAGCAGCGAGCGTTCGGTTTTTTTTTTTTTTTTTTGGGGGGGGGGGGGGGTTCAGACTCCTGCTTCTACCGATGCTCGGCTCCGGGGTTTAGGGTTTAGGGTTTAGGGTTTAGGGTTTAGGGTTTAGGGTTTAGCATTTAGGGGGTTTAGGGTTTAGGGTTTGGGGTTTAGGGTTTGGGGTTTAGGGGTTATCTGCATCAGCCCTTCTCGCACCTCGCGTGTCACCGGTGATGATGGGTGGAATGTGACCTGCGCAGGGTTCACAGCGAAGAAGGAAGCAGGACCCCTCGGTGCCTAGATTCGTTTTCACACTGGGGGCTTGGACTTCTAGGGGCTTATAAGACTTTGGGGTTTAGGGGTTTTAGGGTTTAGGGTTTAGGGGGCTTCTAAGAGTTTTGGGTTTAGGGGTTTTAGGGTTTAGGGTTGCAAGGATTTATATGGGTTTAGGATTTAGGCTTCATCGGGTGCACATCCTGCAATTGGGAGCAGGCCAAGCGGCAGTACACGTAGGCAGATGTATCGACGCAGTTCTCCATCTTATAGCAGTGCGCGGCCACATGTACCTCACTTAAAAGGAGCCCTAAACCCTAAACCCTAAACCCCTGAACCCTAAACCCCTAGACCCCTAAACTATGTCCCGACCTGTACAGGGTTTAGGGTTTAGGGCTGTACACAAGCTGCAGCGACTGTCAGTATTCAAAAAAGATAGGTTTCCAACAATCAGTCCCTTGTGGGGGTACCTACCTTCTATCTACGGTGCCTGTCAGATCAACCCCTTCCGAAAAACAGAAATACAAAGGTGCTAGCCCGGACTGCTGCCCATCTTGTGCCATGAAACGTTGACCTTCTCGCAGTTGTGCGTGGTGCAAATGGTGGAAACACCACCGAGAATCCTCGGCTGAGCAACAAAGCAACAAAGCGGACAGTGCCGCCACCGATGCCTGCAACCACGTTTAGACACTTGCCCAAAGCCCAATAAGCAACATGCCGCTCTAATTCAGAACAAGTATCCCTAGACGGTTTAAGGCATTCGGCTCTCTGATGCAATGAAACTGTGCGCTTCACAGCAGCTCGTAACCCTAAACCCTTGACCACCAAGCACCACTCACTAGCGCAACCAACACAGGAACCTGAACCCCTAAACCCTGAACCCTAAAACCCTAAGCCCTAAAATCCTAAGCCCTAAACCCTTTTCCTAAGCCCTAAACCCTTTTTTCCTTTACCGGAAGCCCCAAAATGAGTGACCCAGATACGCGGCATGCGCGGCCCTCACTTTTTGGGCGTTTCCTCGGGGTTCGAGTTCCACGAACCCCCGCCAGTCTGATCCTATTGATGCTCATATGAGTAGGGATCCCTGCAAGGTAGCCCCTTCTTAGTCCCTCAATACGAAGTCCGGATCGAACAGAACTTGCGTGAGTGGTGTATGGCGTTTTAGACGCGTGACGGCTTTTGGAAACCCCAAGCCCTAAACCCTCATCACACCCTAAACCCTTAGGTGCCCACAGCAAGAACGAGACTGACGCGTCCGGGAAAGACCCCGAAATCGCAAGAGCCCCTACGCCCTAAACCCTAAACCCTAAACCCTAAACCCTAAACCCTAAACTCTAAACTCTAAACCCTAAACCCTAAACCCTAAACCCTAAACCCTGACCAGGGCGCATGGTGGTCCCTTCGCAGCCCGAGATGAGGCAGTAGCGAAGCCGTGCCGTAACGTAGATGGTGCTGTCTTTGCAGTCGGTGATGTTGAGGTATTCGATCCTAAGGGGCCAAACCCTAAGGATCCATGTACCTATATAGTATAAGGGTTTAGGGTTCAGGGCTTGGGGTTTAGGGCTTAGGGTTCATGGCTTAGGGTTTAGGGTTTAGGGTTCAGGGCTTAGGGTAAGTGCTGTACCCTTGATTTCGCTTGAGCTACACGCCCCTGATCTCTGGTCAGTAGCATAGTAGGGTGAGCCTGAAAACAACCTACAGGCGTGAGGGAAAACAAACCACCCCCCCACCCAAAGGGCTCGGTTTCTGCAAGATGGTTCAGGTTAGAGGGCACTGAGGTAGGGTTTAGGGTTTAGGGTACAGAGTGGATTCAGTAGATCATGTCACAACATGGCTCATACAAGATTTAAGGGTGACAGCGTGAAAGCATCATAAGGACCTTGAAGGACTCAATGAATAGCACTTTGACCAGATCTTCCCTTTGTTGAAAATGATTTGGGGCTTGATGTGCCGAATTACAGTGCCACTTATAATTGGTGACTTCTCTAATTGTGGACCCTTTTTGTTTCTGTGTGTGTGTGTGTGACTTTTTTTTGGGGGGGGTCCTTATGTTAAGGCAGGCGGCCCCTCTTCTTCATGGTACTCCAAAAGGGACCGTCATTAAAAGAACTGACCAATTTCTCATGAAGCTCTAAACATAGATCCGAAGTATGAACCCTTAATTTGGGTCCCTTGCTATACAACCCTTATATACACCACACAAACAAAGGCCCATACTTCGGATCCTCTGTAAATACCTTTAAACAAGGGAAAGGGACCATACTAAGGGCCCATGATTCCAGCCTTTGAAAGTATGTCTCCCTGGCCTCCGCCCGTGTTTCAAACCTGACTATAACATCTCCCTCGAACGCCAGGGCACTCGGCATTATGAGGCCGGTGAAACCAAACATTCTTGTGAATGTTGCCTGGGCAGTTTTGGGTTGAGGGTTTAGGATTAAGGGTCTAGGGTGGCGGTGTGGTGGGGCTCCGTTGTGCACATAGACAGCTGCTGCATGACATCGTTGCAACTGAAGGGTGGGCGACTGGTGTACTCTCGCACCCATGTCCCCTAATACCCTACTACAACACCTCCAATGGACTCCAACGTCAGTTCAAAATCGCAACTAGACCCAGGAGTAGCCTAGGAATAAACGGGTGCCCTTTTTGGTTGAAAGGGGCTTATAAGGGGACCTAAACCCTAAAAAGAGGGAACAAGGGCTTACTCTGGGTCCTAGGCACTCTCAAACCGTGGGGACCAGGATCACAACATGCTGCTTGCTGTCGCGCGTTTTGCTTGATCTGGGTTCAGGGTTTATGATTCAGGGTTAAGTTCAGGGTTCAGGGTTTTAAAGTTCAGCGTTTTGGGGAAGATCCGTCCTTAGCCACCCTAATTCATCACGGGTATTTTGCTCCCCAGACAAGTGGCCTCGGTGTTGGCTTTTTGGCTCGCCCCAAGCCCTGACACCCCAAACTCTAAGAACTACTCAAATACCCCTTGGGCATACCCATTTAAAGAAACGAAATTAAGGGGTTTGGTAAAAAACCTTCCTTTTCTTCTTCGCTTATCGGTTAAGCATGGTTAAGCGTTATGGGTTTGGGGTATTTTGAATGATTCTGAGATAACCCCCCAAATCCTACACCCTAACCCCCAAACCCTAACCCTGAAACACCCCCCACCCCCCCAGCACAGATCCCAGAGGGCCTATACCCCTTAATTAATCAAGGAATATCTCGCAATAGAGGCCTGAATATGATGTAAGGCGCATTTACCTTAATTTAATTCAGGGGGTATGAAGGGCCCCTTTGGGCTAGAAGGGTTGTAAGGGTTGTAAGTACTATCACTTAGGTGATAAGGCGCTCCGTAGAGGTCCTTAGCATAAGGCACATTCCTCAAATTCAGGGTGTATTAAGAACTCTTTGGGTGAGAAGGGTTGTAAGGACCATCACGTAGGTTCGAAGGGTCGTAAGAAGCGCTAGTGTAGCAAGGAAGCCCCTCTTCTTGTGTATAGACCCAGGAATGACTCCTAGAAATACCAAGGGTGACCCTTCTTGCTTTAGAGGGGGGGTTGTAACAGAACCCAAACCCTAAAAATGGAAATCAGGGCCCACTCTGGGTCCTAGGTCAACATCACAAGATCCGACATCAAGTCCAGGGCACTGATGTTGAGAGTCTTTGCCCGGGGTTCCAGACCATCTTTGGCTACCTCCAACGCAGGGTTGGGGGTTTATAGGGCTTAGGGCTTAGGATTTAGGGTTTGGGGTTTAGGGTTTGGGGTCTCTGGGGTCCTCCGATTCAGGGCCATAGTTCCGAAGAAACATCCCTGCAAGACGTGAAACTGGGGGTGTGCCTCGTGGTTTAGGGTTTTGAAAGGGTGCTTAGACCCTAAACCCTAAACCCTAAACCCTAAACCCTAAACCCTAAACCCTAAACCCTAAACCCTAAACCCTAAACCCTAAAATGATGCCAGGGGTCTGGAGTGCTTTAGGACGCAGGAGGGTTCTGCTTGATGGTTTCATGGGGCAGCTATAGGTACTGTAAATATGCTCATAATCCTGCTTAGGGCACATTTTGCAACCCTGCTTCTAACTACTCATGAACCTCCAAGTAAGGCTTGAAGGGACGTAGGGATTCAAGCTTTAGGGCTTTGGGGTTTACACGGTGCTCTCTGGTATCCGAGCAGAGAGTTCAGGGTTTCAGGCTTCTAGGTGCCCTCTAAACCCTAAACTTTCAAAGTTCCAAACCCCAAAGCCCCCCTAAACACTCTCTCTCTCTCTCTCTCACAGGCGCTCAGTCAATGTCAGGCCTGTCGTGGCATCACAGCCAGCACAAAAGATAGCCCCCCTAAACACTAAACCCAAAATCCCAAACCCTGAGCCCTGAACCCTAAACCCTATAAACCTCAAACCCTAAACCCTAAACCCTGAACCCTGAAACGAAATAAACCCTAAACCCTAAACCCTTTTCCAAGAGACTTCGCCCTAACCCTAAACCCTAAACCCTAAACCCTATAAACCCTAAACCCTATAAACCCTAAACCCTTTTCCCTGAAACGCCTCGCCTCTGTGGTGTAGGCATCTTCGTTCCAGCACAGGAGCTTCTGCCTGGGCTCACGACAGATTGGGAGCTAACTCTCCCGTCCGGAAGTGCGTCGGGTTGAGTAGGGTTCAGGGTTTGGTTTAGGGTTTAGGGTTTAGGGCTTAGGGCTTAGGGCTTAGGGCTTAGGGCTTAGGGCTTAGGGTTTAGGGTTTAGGGTTTAGGGTTTAGGGTTTAGGGTTTAGGGTTTAGGGTTTAGGGTTTAGGTTTTTAGGGTTTAATTAGTTTAGTTTAGGGTTTAGGGTTTCGGGTTGAGCGGGGTCGGGATTTTGGGATATGTTGGGCTTAGGGTGTAGAGTTTAGGGGTTCTTTGTGCGCAAGCAGCGAAGTGTACCAAGAGTTTAGGGTTTGGGGTTCAGTAGGGTCGGTCGCCTGGTCTCATGCCACACGACAGGGATGCAAGCGCATCCAACACAGAAAAACACAGAGTTCCCTGTCAGCCGAAGCTTCATGTGCTTCTGAAGATATGTGCTATCTCTAAGCCCTCAACCCTTCACCCTCAACCCTAAGCCCAAACTTCTCTGTGTCCTTCGCCAGGGTCCCTCTTAGGGAGAAGTGTCCCCTCCCTTTGTCTCGCCGAGTTGTGGATGACAGCCAGCCTAGAATGTCAAAACAAGGACTGCACCCTCAACCCAAGGAGCCCAACACTATTTGAAGAACAGATGCCGGAATTCGTGATCAGGGTCCCACTCCAAGGTAAGAAATATTGAAAAACTCATACTTAATTACATGTAATAAATGAATAAAAATGAATATACATATATACATATATATAAACAGACCTGTATTCAGCACAAGGAACCCCAGACATGCATGTATGTATGTATGTATGTATGTATACACCTGAATATAGAATAAAGGTGCCTATTTGGTAAGGTACGTTCATCTTGATAAGAACGGACGTTGGAGGCCCCGGGGTCCTGCAATTCGGCTTTGCTTCTAGCAGCCTGTTTAGGGTTTAGGGCGTACATGGAGCTTAAGGTTCAGGATGCTGCGTACCTTCTTTGTACCCCAAACCCTAAACCCTAAACCCTAAACCCTAAACCCTAAACCCTAAACCCTAAATATACAAAGGTTTGTCATAGGTACTCTAGGGATCCACGACAATGTCTAAGCCCTGTCTCGTCAGGCGTCGTGTTCTATGCGAAATACTTTGCAAACCCAAAAGCCCAATACCCTTTCATCACGGAATATACCTTGAACTATACAGGGCGCGATCTAAGGCATTTTCCTAAACACCAAACCCCAAGCCCTGATTAAACCCTAAACCCTAAGCCCCGAAACACTAAACCCTAAACCCTAAACCTTAATTAAGGCTCATTGGGTACCCTTCCCAGCTGCACAGCTTTCCGTAGCTCCGCTGCCGGCATGGATGGCCTCGACTGTCGTTTCAGGTTGGTTTAGGGTTTAGGGTTTAGGGTTTAGGGTTTAGGGTTTAGGGTTTAGGGTTTAGGGTTTAGGGTTTAATTAGAACAGGGTTTTGGGGGGGTTCTTATAGTAGTATAAAGGGACGTAACTATTCCGACTCCTAAAGAAACCCAAAGAGCCCTTAAAACCCCTGCCTTATATACGGAATCGGGTTCAGGGCTTACCAGACTACGTAGAAGGATCCCTATAACCCTAAACCCTAAACCCTAAACCCTAAACGGAAAATAAACCCCTAAGCCCCAGGCCTTGCAAGAAGAGGCTCGACCAGACCCCTATTTCTCTAGCAGCCTTGGCTGAACATGATGTTTCTGCACCCCGAACCCGAAACCCGAAACCCGAAACCCTAAACCCTAAACCCCAAAACCCAGCAACAGCCCATCTAGAGCTTAGGGTTTGGGGGTGGAGCTCGGGCAAGAAGACAAATGAGACCTACTTGTGGGACCCCAAGTTCAAGTAAGACCTGCTTCAGATCATGGGGAGCTGCGGCACAGGCCCAGCGCCTCTGTGGAACTTCAGGGCTTCGGCTTTTGTTCGAGCGGACCCACTCGCTCTCCTTAGAACCAAAACAACAAGAACATGTCTCCCACAAACCAACGCCCAAACCCCAAACCCAAAACCCAAAGCCCAAAGCCCAAACCCAAAACCCTCCCTGGGGGCACAAGAGCAAACCAACCCGAAGGACCCTGATAACCATGACTGCAACAACACGACTCCCTTAGGGCCTTAGGTTGCACACCCCCTACACCCTAAACCCTAAACCCCAAACCCTAAACCCTAAACTCTCAACCCTAAGCCCTAAGGAGACTGCCTTGAAGCGAGATCCGGTACAGCCTCGGAGAGGCGGAACCTCGGGGTGACTTGGGGAGATCTTTGTGGGACCCGAAGCTATGGGCTCTTCATTTGGGTCCCTTGCTTAGGGTTTAGGGTCTAAGACTATAGACTTCAGGGACTTCTCGCCTAGAATGGGCGGAGGTGTTTTTTTTTTCCTAACGTTGGCCCTGGCTCGTGGTCCTTGCTAACGTTGGCCAAGCAATTCCTGGCTCTAAATGCTATGAAATGCAGCATTTCCGGGTGCTTGTAGGCCCTAAACGCCTAAAAACACAGCATTTCTGCGTGTTACAAAGGTTGAAATGCTGTAGATTGCAGCATTGCACCTGCTTGCAGGCTCTAAATGATGAAAAACACAACATTTTTATGCTATTCTATTAATGCACTATTGTACATGATTGTATATTCTTGAATGCTATTGATATTATTCACCATTCTTGTATATTACTTCATTCTTGCATAGTCTTCTTGATTGTTGCACTTTATTGAATGTTTGTACATTATTGTATATTTTCGTATATTGTTGTATACTATTGA